CCACGTTGACACACAGCTCCAACTGTCACAGTCAAGAAGCCAAGGAGGACCAGGGACAAGCCTGCCCGTGGGCACGGCAAGAAGGTGTCCTGACCCAGAGTTGTAGCCTGTTACTTCTCTGGTCAACCTCATAATCATAACTATTGTCTGTGAGTTCCGTGTGGCCACTGTAAGGAATTATCAAACCCAGCACAGGAGTTGAGGGTGCCAGGCGAGGGGCGACTGGTGTCAGAATTGGTACAAAGGTTGGAAGGAGGAGGCAGGTGTGACCTCCGCCTCATAGGAATCAGCCTGGGGGTGATGATGAGGGTGGTTCTCTCTGTCCCTTGAGACGTCAGAGAAGGGCGGACGCCTCCTCCACGCCCCCTTGGACAGTCATGCTCCAGGGTCTGGGGTCAGCACGTCAGTGCGTCAGTCCATCCCAGGCAGCTAGAGGCAGTGACAGCACAGTGTGGGGGCCTGGGTTCCCTAGAGAAACCGAACCAGGCAGAGAGAGATTTACTCCAAGGGGCCGGCTCACACGGTTGTGAGGACTGGCAAATTCGACCTCCTTAGGCCAGGTGGCCCCTGGGACACTCCTGCAGGCTTGCATCCCAAGATCCATAGGTCAGGCAACAGGAAGAGGGCAGAGTCAAGAGAGGGCTGGAGTTCGAAGGCAGACCACACCCTAAGGACCTCTATTCTCACCTGGTGGAGTGATTACGTGACCTTTTGGGGGATCAGTGTGTTCCACTGCATTAGGTTATAGAACAGCAAGTACAGTTTGGCAGAACCACTGGGAACTATCGCCTAGCCAAGTTGACACAAGGTTTACCATCACCATAGCTTGAAACAATGATCTACTTTGCTTATAAATCTGGCATTGGGCCAGGACTCGGCAGAGACGGGTTCACTGTCCTCCATACATCGTTTGGGGTGTTTCTAGTGATGCCACAGAATTTGCTTCTGCAACGGCCCCTCCCGTGGCCGGAGAGCTGGTGCTGGCTGTTGGCTGGGGGCCGCGAGTCTCCTCCACAGGCCTGCTTCCGCTTCCTCAGAGCATGGCGACCAGGTTCCAAGCGGGTGTGTTCTCTCATACGGGGTGGGGCACATGCCAGTCTCTGAAGGCCTAGAACCCAGAAACTGGCACCAGGCCACTTCCGCTGTCCTAGCAGTCACCGTGCTAGCAGTCACTAGCCCACTCAGCTTCAAAGGGAGCGGTCACAGACCCCACCTCTCAATGAGAGGAGTGACCAAGAACTTGCAGCCACCTTTAAGCTATTGCAACTACTCCTTTGGGATTATAAAGGGTTAAATGATGTAGCACCCAGAACCACACCTGATGTACAGAAAATGCTCAGGATGTATTATTAGCATAATTTTTAATATGTTATTAGTGAAAATACACACAACTAAACATACAGCAGCTCAGCAGTTTCCACAGGAAGTTTAGTGATCTTGGCACAGTCCTTCTCGGCCACCTTTCCGGATTGTTCCTCCCCCAGTAACATAATCTCACTGGCCCCTAGGCCCCATCTGTGCTTTTGAGTTGCTGTTGTCAATTTGAGATACCATATCCACCAGCCACTCCGTGGAAGGAAGACTGGCCAATCTACTTCCGAAAAGATTTACCATCTCGGAAATCCAAAGAGGGCTGCTGTAAGTCGGAATCAACTCCACGGCAGTGAGAGTGAGTGATAAAACCCACTGCTGTGGAGTCCATTCTGACCCACAGCGCCCC